CAGAGCGACCGCCGCTTGTCGGCGAAGTTAGTGCCAACTATAGCCAAAAGAGGGTATCGCGTGGTCAGGGCAACGGATCTCCAAGGCCGTTAATCTCGGTTTCCTAGACCGGAGCCGCTATCTCCTTCAAATAGGTCCTCAGTTATCCTCATGAGGCTGAGTGGACCACGGTCCAGACCCACCACTTCTCAGAAAATCTGGTAGCGCCGGGAATCGAACCCGGGACCTCTGGATCTTTAGGTAGGGACTCTGACCAGTAGACCACGCACTGCAGGACAGCATGAGCAAAATCAGCATAGTCGACGAGATTCGATATCGAGATTATTCCCCGTGTGGAGTCGGGTTAGAATACCTCCAGCATAGCCCTGAGAGTCGTTGAAGGCGACGAAAAGGGAATCCAGTGCCTGGGGGTATAACTGGGCCACCCTGTCACCGGGGACATAAATATAGGGACCTAGTCCTCCAGGTTGGGGGTTGAACGCAAGGTTGCCAACCTTACTCTGTGAAGAAAAAAAATATTGTTGCCAAATCCAAAGAAGTGAAAACCGAAAGAAAAATCTGGCAGAATTTTCTGTGAAAGGCTATGGCTCAAAAAGGGCTGTTTTGATGACGACGACCAAGTTAGTAGGATGACTCCGGTATATACGTAGTCTAGTGTACTGTGCTAAATTTGTCTCAGCTAATGAAACGCCGGGATGACGAACATTAAGAAAGGACACCAAACTCCCCAAAGACGCAAAAATTTAAATTAAAAGTTGTAGTACGAAAGCATTCTTATTAACCTAGAAGTAGTATGTTTGGCATTCAATGACTACATGTCAATAACATGCAGTAATATTATCGTCTGAATAGGCATTCATAAGGCATGATATCAAATTCTTTCGAAATGTGCAACATAACTTGCATTCTTCCGTTCGTCACCCCAAGCTAAAGAATGCCAACAGATGTCCGTCATCATGTTAGTGTCTTGTGGGTTACGTCATAGTCTGGTGGGTAAATGCCAGCGTTTTGGAGGAATATGCTGCCTCGATCTTCAGGGTACATGCAGGTAGAAATGTTGACATCTACTACCAGACTAAACGGTGTCATAACCCAGAAGATCAAAATATGAATCTTCACCTCCGCAAAATATCGGAGCTTATAATTTTGAGTCATATCTAACCAAGGTACGTGCAATGTGCCGCAAAATGCAGTGCTGAGAAATGTTTCGGAATCGTTTCTTAGGTGAGATCAAATATTACTGCAGATTTTATGGCACTACTTGGTAGCGTAGTTGGTTGAGGCATTACGTTACAAGTCGGAAGGTCGCCGGTTCAAATCCCGATGAGGTTATTTGATTTCTTCAATTGACCTAATCCTTCCAGCCGCACTATGGCCCTGGGGTCGACTCAGCCTCTAACAGACTTGAGTACCAGAAATATTCTTGAGGGTAAAGGGCGGCCGGCGCGTAGGGCTGACAACCTTGCCGCCATCTATGAGCCGACTGTCTAGAAAATGTGGGAACCTCAATATCTCACAACCCTATAGGCCTCCACGGCCTGTTACAGGGATAGTTTTACTTTGTTTTTTATTTTTTACTTAATTATATAACCTGTTGTCTCATCCTCTTGCTTTAATACTACTATCACTGGCCACTAACCACAAATTTTCACCTTACGACTGTTAAACAATCAAAACAACTAAGACGTATAATCTTAACAGGTTCAATAGCATCTTAATTACACATAATTATGTTAAATTCTATGAAAATATTTAAGGTTCATAATACCAGTTCTCATCTGAAGTGTGTATTAAGAATACTCATAGCAATAGTCTGTGAGTGTACGTTCTGAGAGCTCATTTCTATTTGTTTACAACTGCGGACACGGAACTATTACATAAAACAATAAAGAGACCAAATTAGGCCCGTGTTACATAAATGAAGAAAAAATAATTATTATATTATGTCAGGTAAAGGTAAAAGTTAAAGCTATTCTTGTAACAGGCAATGAAGGCCCATGGGGCTGTGAGNGGGCCTCCACGGCCTGTTACAGGGATAGTTTTACTTTGTTTTTTATTTTTTACTTAATTATATAACCTGTTGTCTCATCCTTTTGCTTTAATACTACTATCACTGGCCACTAACCACAAATTTTCACCTTACGACTGTTAAACAATCAAAACAACTAAGACGTATAATCTTAACAGGTTCAATAGCATCTTAATTACACATAATTATGTTAAATTCTATGAAAATATTTAAGGTTCATAATACCAGTTCTCATCTGAAGTGTGTATTAAGAATACTCATAGCAATAGTCTGTGAGTGTACGTTCTGAGAGCTCATTTCTATTTGTTTACAACTGCGGACACGGAACTATTACATAAAACAATAAAGAGACCAAATTAGGCCCGTGTTACATAAATGAAGAAAAAATAATTATTATATTATGTCAGGTAAAGGTAAAAGTTAAAGCTATTCTTGCAACTGGCAATGAAGGCCCATGGGGCTGTGAGATGTCGAGGCTCCCACATTTTGTCTAGACAATTGGCTCACAGATGGCGGAAAGTGTGTGAGCTTTACGCGCCGGCCGCCTTTTGCTCCCCAGGAAGATTCCAGATACTCATTTCTGTTAGAGTCTGAGTCGACCCCAGAACCATAGAACAGCTGGAAGGATTAGGTAAATTGAAAAAATCCACCTCACAGAGACTCGAACCCGCGATCTTCCGGCTTGTAGCATAGTGCCTCAACTAACTACGATATCACGTGCCCCCCACATTATGTCTGCCTATCATTAATCATAAACTCTCTTACATTTATATATACAACATACATATCTCCTCCACTGTCCCTTCATACACACACACACACACACACACATATATATATATATGTATATGTACTTCACCTCCACCCAATGCCGAGGTCTGGAGTGTGTGAATTTTAATATAATTTTAATGTACTTCTTGAAAAAAGGCATTTATAAACGTATTCAACTCATCTTCTTAGTGAATACGAAAATTCGTTTGTATGAACGTAAGGAAATTAGGAAATTCTCCCGTTTCATATCGATGCTCTAAGAATCAAACCTGCTTAGGGTAGGCCTAAACGTGACGTTCGTTGAATAACATCAATTTTCTGCACATATATCTAGATGAGATCATAAAATTAAAATTAATCTTAAGGCAATAGGATATGACAGTGTAGACTGGACTTAAATGGCTCAGGATACGGAGCAGTGTCAGTCTCTCAGAAACACGGTAACATAACTTAGGGTTCCGTAGAAGGAACGAAATTTCTTGACCAAGCGACTACTGGTTTCTTAACAAGGGTTCAGCTCTATGGAGTTACCTCAAGGATTAGGTTCGTTGGTCTGTTCCGATTCAGAAATAATTCTGACACAGTCCTTTGACATTTGATAGAGCCCTTATGTCGTGAGATCGGAGAGTCACAAGGCCTGCACGTACACAGAACACTGAACCACATACATAGTCATACCCTGAAAGGGATTCGAACACACGGCCCCACTGTATACAAGAGGTCCAAGAACGTACGCATTATAGGCGGATCGGCTATTATAGTCCGCTCAAAAGTTAGGTGACGACATTCCTGTCATGACGAAGATATTTCGGTTATTAATACATTTAGGCCTAATTGGAGGCACAGACCCACCCGCAGAAGCTCAACCGGAACAGTCTACACAACGCACAACTGTGCCGTCAAATCACTTCGCAATTGTTTCTTCAGCGCTGTTAAGGAGATAACCCGTATTCCTGTTCATTTCCCACAAACGTATACTCCAGTACAACAATGAGGCATGAAAGGAACCAAACGAAGACTTGAAATGTTTCAGGTCTTCGCACATCACACTGCAGAAACTTAAGATATAACTGCATGCATGTTTCCTAATTATATTTCGATGAACTCAGTTTTCCTGGATAGTCTCTTTCCAAAAACAGAGATACCATGTATGCCTCTGGAGACAAAACAAACAGGAGGGGCAGATAGAAGTGCCCAGAAGACGGAAGAAGATGTTGGATGACCTTGGGGACAGAAGAGGATATCTTAATTGAAGGAGAAAGCTTGAGATCGCATTAAGTGGAGGAACTGTTTTGGAAGAGACTGTGGACCTGTCGTCTGACAGATTCCTGATGAATGAAAATGAACTCGAGTACTGGATATCTGAACTAAAACCTGCGAAACTAATTAAATCTTGGTTCCCATTAGTCACATATAAGATCTATTTTAAATAAAGTTCACACCTAACTTAATCCAGCTTTAATTATCTGACATTTTTGGAGCTTTTGTGCCGTCTATGTGCAACGTCGTTCATTATTCGTTCTTCGTATGTAGTGTTCAATAATGTGGCAAAGATAATTCTTGCCCGTGCCGGTAATCAAATCTCAGTGGTTTACACCGCTGCTGCTCACTTTACCAAATTATATATTCTGGCTAACATACGAAAGAAGAGAACCAAATTCTCTGACACTCTTAATACGTACATCCGGGCATTCTGTAAATGAAACTGTTTGTAAGGCATTTGAGAGTAGCATTAAATAACCTTTAACTACAAACAGCGGTGTAACGGGCATTAACAGGAGCTCATTTAATACAATTCTTCAAGCTACGAACACATCTGAACTAACTCATTCATTCATCATTCATTCAGATTCTTGCTGCTCCCACTTGGAGTATAGGGTATCCGTGAAACGCTTCGTTTCACTTCAGTTTCTTAATCGTAAGACAGTCGGTAGAGCACCTTAGATGGAGGATCAGCCCGTCGCAACACCGCTACCTGCACAGGATAACACAAACACAGAAAGAATAGAAAAACATCCATGCCTCGAGTAGGATTCGAACCCACGATCCCAGTGTTCGAGCGGGCGAAGAAAATTCTTGCCTCAGACCGCGCGGCCACTGTGATCGGCACACCTGAACTAGGCATATCGAATAGTAATTCATATTAAAATTTTCAGTATTAGACTCAATATGAGATAACAGCTCTATGTTAAAATCCTACCTGGTTTATCATCAATTGTGACCCACGGTTGCCATACTTTGGGTGCTGGCTGCGATGGCATTCTGGCGACCAGCGTATCCATGGTAATACCACTCTGCGCCCTATTCTTTCATACAAGGAAGGGTATGAAGAACTTAATCAAAATACTTTCGTATACTTCGAACTTGCGTCTTGAAGAAGTAAAAATATATCTTGAAGGAAATAACGTTTAAGTAATTACGTCTTGCTGCCAATGCAAGACGGCCAATATCTGTCTATTTCACGGCTTGAATTGTCATTCAGTTTCTATGCCATTAACATATACACGCAGTTGTTAAAAACACGATTCCAGTCGTACGCTTTACTTTACTTCACTTCATATACTGCAGAGTATGTTTAATTATGAAATGGATAACAGATTTTCGAAGACTAAAAGCACAAAATGAATTTAAACATATCTTCTACTGACAACGAAATTTAAAGCAATGAAACTGCAGACATCTGGATCACTGTAGCAAGCCCGCTGCAGTTCTGGTTGCATCTCACAAAACCTTGCGTCGACTAAGTTGGAAAATATTCTTCCTTCAAGTCTTCTTCATTCACGATTTGGCTGGGTTGGTTTAGCCGCAGTCCTGCCCCGAGGCACTTGAATCGGGGCTCATTTCAAACACGAAACCTGAACAAAAAATAAACTATACCTAAGGCAGTTTACCACGGCGTCTTCTAGACTGTAACGTAAAAAGCAAGTTTCCAGCAAAAGAATGCCCGAGGTGAAATTGAATTGTGGATACACAATCAGTAAAAATAAAACGTATAAAATATCACTGACCGTATTTTTCTTCACAGTAATTAAGATTTAAAACTATGCAATTTCACGTCTTAAATGTTCGAAATTGAGTTGTATAACTTGTTAACTTCTAAATTCTATACAAAAAAATTTCAACTTCACTTTTAAAAATCATAATTGCACAATTAATTAAGAGTCGTTAGTTTCACAGTCGAACTCCGGATTGTCAGGACAACTCCTCTCGTTGGTTGAAGCTTTCTTTTCGTTGAAGTAATTCTGGAACGACGACAAAGAACTGTCTCATGTCACCGAAAACTATCCTAGGGCCTCGCACGAACAACTCCAACACTCAATGAATTAAACTATCAAGAACTAAGAATACTGGACTCAGGTTTGTTTCAGAGCCATCCAAGCTGATCAGGCAGGCTACTCCCGACACCTAGAGGATGCCTGGCAGTAGATAATCTCTACCTCCCCTCCCCACACATATACACTCCCCTCCCCCTTAACCTAACCTACTACCACCCTCAAAAGTAGCCATCAAGTCATTGACTGATCAGTTTCAAGTGATCTCATTAAAAAGAAGGATCCTGTAATAGCAATGTTATGTTTCGTAATTAACAAAATTATGTAAGATTTGAGGCTTTCACGGCGGTGACTATGAAGAAAACAGTCTTCTGGGATTTGGCACCGTGTATATGTGGTGTTAACCGACGTTTCGGAGGAACGTATCGCCTGCTGTGTCTGCTTTTACCGGTTCTCACGGTCTCTCCGCTTGCAGATTTCTTATATTTTTTCTTCTACCCTGAAGATGGAGGCGATACGTTCCTCCGAAACGTCGGTTAACACCACTTATACATGGTGCCAAATCTCAGAAGACTGCTTTCTTCATTAACAAAATTATGTCTGTATTACGGAACGTGGAAAGTAAAATAGAGCAATTCTTCAGTATGGAGAGTTCACACACGGACAAACACGCAGAAGAAGCCGACTGGAGACTTCTCGGCCAAATACGATTCTATTCATTTTCAAAAATCGTGCACAATCGGAAGGAAGACACGTTACAGTGTGCATATTAACATATTCAGGGTAGTTAACAGGCAGTTTCAGAAGAGTTTTCGGACAGAGGTCCTCCCAAAGAACGCAGGAACTCTCAGCTATAAACACCAGAGGTGCGATAACCTGATGATTGCAAATCATTTAAACTTGACATCAATTGTTATCCCTTGTGCAGATTTTTATCTCCAACCTCAGATCACGGTCGCAACTTATAACCCTGCTCAATAAAGTAATTAACCGCGACGTTCCAATCCTTTATTGACTCAGACACTTACAATTCGCTTATACCACGTGAATTTACTGCTCCGCGGAGTCTATACTTCGCTAAAAATTGCGATTCAAGTAAGTAAAAGTAACGCCAAAGCTAACTCCGTAACATACACAAAGACTACGACATTCACAGTAAAACTACAAGACGAACAATTGACGAGTACACGATCCGGCTACTTTTACTTCAAACGAACGAATTTTCGTTATCCGTAAGTATCAACCTTAATCTAACGTCGAACAATGGCAAGCTACATAAGTAACCATTCGTCTTACTTACTTACTTACTTATGGAACTGAGCCCTTCTTGAGAAGAAGCCAAATCTGCAGCTACTCAAGAATTTCCCAGCATTTTATGGAACCCGAAGGTTCATTACCGTGTTCTTGTAATCAAACTCGCTGAAAGTGATACATTAAAATATATTTTAATATTATCCTCCTACCCACCTAAGCCAAGATCTTTCAAGTGGTCTCTTTCCTTCATCATCTCTCCTGTGTGTGTGCTGCAGGCCTCGACCACTATTCTTCATTACATCATCATCTTAACCTTCGGTTTTTGGCTAAAGTATTAACCGTATGTCCATGCTCATGCATGGCATGAATAGAATTCATGATAATGTTAACTCGTGAAGTGAAAAACCAAGAAAAATTTCCATATCTTTTATAAAAATCGGTATCTGCAACAGATGCTCTCCCGTACCCCATTCCAAAGATGGTCATGAGAAACGGCACTCATCCACAACACACAGCTGAAATATGCCAACACTGCAACAAGAACAATACTACGTTACTCCATATGCCCGACATGTGATACTGAAACCTCATTACTTTCTGTTGACGAATGAATTATCCCTTCATTTAAAGTAATTTACCCAATCCTGCTGAATATTCAAACACTAAGGATGTCGATAAAACAAAAGTGGTTTAAGTACGAACGCTATTATTTTGCAAACCCTATTTCATTGTCACAGTATTTCTTCTGATAAGTCTCCAAACATAAGTCAACATTTCATTAAAAATATAGACTCATTTCATTCCCATTCGGTCAAGTTGGGGTAACAACAATCGGTTCATACCCTGAGGTTACGTAGGACTGGACAATGTGAAGTCAATGTTGCCTCTTTCGCAATTATTCAAGACATTGAACATTTGCACAAGAGGAAATAAGCATTAGATCTAATCAAAATTACTTCACTAAATGGAATTGGTCGTCCTTCTTTCAACCGATTCGTTTATGTCCGTCATTTTAAACCAATGAACTGAGACTCACTCATCGTAAAACCCAGTCACTGAAAAATACAAAAAGCGGACCGGATATGGTCCGAGTTAACGAAGATTGATTTATATAGGATGGAAGATATTGAAATTAAAAAAAAAAAAATGAAAACGCAGTCCATAGGCTGAACATCGCTAATATCAAAGCCAGCCAATGGGCAAGATCTTGAGCCAATTCCAGCCATGTCACATCTTCACAGCTTCTTCTCATAAAATCTACCTTAATGTCAGCCTCCCATCTCCTTTTTGATTTTCAAACAGCTCGTCTACCAAGAGATTTCTCTACAAAATGTCTGCAAGCATCACTGTCTCCCCCATTCTAGATACATGCCCAGAACATCGTAGATTATTTGATTTCCCTATTCTAACAATACGAGACGACGTGCATAACCCACAAAGCTTCTCGTTATGAAACATCCTAAACTTCTCACTGAGTTAATCTTCCTTGGGTCCAAATATCTTTTTGGTGCGCTTTCTTTTGTACGTTGAAATTACAACAAACAAACAAAAAAAATTAGGTGGCAGGTAGTCTGCAAGCGAGATATACCGACCGAGCGACCGCCACTTGTCGGCGAAGTTAGAGCCAACTTTAGCAGATAGGGTGTCGCGTGGTCAACGCAACGAATCCTCACGGCCGTTAATCTCGGTTTTGTAGACCGGGGCCGCTATTTCCTTAAAATAACTTCTCAATTATCCTCACGAGGGTGAGTGGACCCGTTCCAGACCCACTACTTCTCAGAAAATCTGGTAGCGCCGGGAATCGAACTCGGACCTATGGATCTGTAGCCAGGAATTCTGACCACTAGACCAGAGCCGGTTTCCCTGAAATTACAGGATTTATATTTTAAACAAAAAATCCGAAGGGCCCACCACTTTGCCGAACTTCGTTTCTCCTTTCAGACAGGCTACGCGGCACACCCAACCTCCTATCCAAAAGATACCAAAAGAACTTTCCTATGGGATTGAGAGGCTACAGCATGAAGAACTTTGTTTCTCCCTTCAGACAGGCTACGCGGCACACCCAACCTTCTAACCAATGGATACCAAAAGAACTTTCCTATGGGATTGAGAGGCTACAGCATGAAGAACTTTGTTTCTCCCTTCAGACAGGCTACGCGGCACACCCAACCTTCTAACCAATGGATACCAAAAGAACTTTCCTATGGGATTGAGAGGCTACAGCATGAAGCTGCCCATCTAATACCAAGGTTAAGAATGTCTGGAGCTTTATCTCCATTCCCCCAAGGTCTTCATGGAGTAGAAGTCAGGCAGAGGGGACAACTTCACATATTTTTACGTAGGAGTTATAAACAGATCTATACGTAAGCCTACTATTAACATCACACGGTCTGTTTGATATGTAAAGGCACAAGAGTCAATGAACCCGGCAATGGAATTTTTTAAATAAAATCTCCTAGTCCTTGCGCCTGCCACCCACTATACGAACTCCTCGTCTCTACAAACACGTCCCATGTACTTCAGGTGAATAATTCGCGGTTAATAATTATGCAACACAGCCATATGTATTCACACGAGATATGCCAACTAAATCTGGTAGACTACAGGACAATGAATCGTGTAGGAATTCGCGTTGTTGCCCTAAATGGAGAAGTCCATGTGGTTGAGATGTGGCTAAATGTTGGGGTCGCATCCCCTATAAGGGCAACTGCTGATGTCTGTAACCCACCCACTATTGTCTCTATGACATTATGTTTATTGACACTGTGTACCTGTGTTGTTACCGCTGCGTCTCCTAGTGTCGTGCTGCAAGTAATTATGACTTCATGCAACACCAAGGGCCAGCGAATATATACTTCTAACTTACTTACTAATGGAGCTGAGCCCTTCTTGAGGAACCGCCAATTCTGCAGCTACTCAAGAATTTCCCAGCATTTTATGGAACCCGAAAGTTCATTACCGTGTTCACAAGAGCCCTCCACTGGCCCCTATCCTGAGCCAGATCAATCCAATCCATCCCATCCTATCTCTCTAAGATCCATTTTAATATTGTTCACCCACCTACGCATATGCTTCTAACTTGGACGGTGTACATTATTACTGAAATGTGAGGTAAACAGATGGTATTTTACTTTCCAGCCAACTAACTACAACATGGAGAGAACCCATCTTGAGAAGCTGATAGTCGCTCAACCGGTCAAGAAATTCCCGGCCTTTATGGAATCCGAATGTTCATTACAATGCTCAAAAATCTATCCAGTGGAGCCTATCCTGAACCAGACGAATACATGAATACATAAAACTTTTCACATCCTAATTCTTTAAGATATATCTTAATAGCATTCTCCCATCTACGACTATGTCTCCCAAGTGGTCTCTTCTCTTCGGATTTTCCGACTAATATTTTTCATGTGCGTTTCTAATCTCATCCGTGTATGATAGAATACATCCGCTCTCAATCGCATTCTCTTTGAGTTGATCACCCTAATAGTGATGACAAAGAGTGCAGATTATACAGCCC